CATTTATAATGAACCATGATGATTATTTATGAACATTGTAATAGACAGTGAAAAGAGTTTATTAAAAAATGATTATTTTAAATCTTGAAGTGTCCTTCGTCTTGCGGACGGAGCAGCAGTCAGATAAAGCCAGCCATATTAAAGATGGTTTACAGCAGACTTTGTGTCTCCTGTGATGGATAATCTGTTGGTAGAAGTACAGCCAGGACAGCTTGACCCAGCTGAGGAAGTGTGACCTTTGGGTCACAAATGAGGCCATTCATGTCGCTACACCATAACCCTCTGGATCACCTTGAACAACGTCTCTTCTTCCACCTCTGACCGACCGCTCTCTCTCCGCTCTCCTACCCCTCCTGTTGGACTCTGAACCTCGGCTCACTGCCTCCCCCCATGCTCAACAGGTCTCGCCTCCTGTACGTCCTGAACAATCCAAACCCACCAAGCTATTTCACCTCCCAGGACTCACCTGCCTCTCTCCTCCTCAGACTCCCTCCTGCCCCGCTTCGCTCTCACCGGACTTCCCGGTGCACCCTTAGTTCCAGTTTTGCATAGATAAATAATCTTTCTTTCTACTTAACTTGTCATGTTGATTCTGCATGTCTTCGGTTAAGCACCTTCCTCAGAACATGACAGTATGTTCTCAACAGGAGAACAAAATGGAGACGGGAGGTCCGGAGCAGAGTGGACCAAAAGTGGGGCAAGTTAACATACTGAGGCAGAGTTAAGCAAATTTTAAGATGAGGCATCAAACTTTGCATGCATGCTTACATTGGATGGCAGTGAGGACGATGTTCAAAGGGAGAAGCCGGCAGGAGTAGTGCTCTGATGGAACACTGGGACCGCAGCAGCATGAGAGTGAGTGAGTACAGCGAGGCAGAGGGCATCAGTGAATAAAAGACTCATTTGACTTTTGATATCACATGTCAGCACAGTTATGATAGTTTGCATTAAAATAGCATTTTTTGCTCAGTATTTCTTCTCAAATTTTCTATGAAAAAAGTTTATTGAAAAAGTGATTTTTTGTCTTTTCCTGAAGATTAGTCTTGGAAAGGCGGGTCGTCTTATAATTGGTGTCGTTCTATATTCGGGTCAATACAATATTTGTGTGGGCCTCCATTGACCTCCATTCATTTTGGTGACTCCACTATGCACCCATATCCTAACCTTAACCAATGGGGTTCTGTTCCTAAACTAACCCAAACTAAAATTTAATTTACACCTTACCTCTAAAACCAAGTTTTAGGGTGCTTAGCATAGTGTGGACCAGCAAGATGTCCCCACAATGCAGAAATTTCCACATATTACAGGTTAAAGTTCAAATTTGTCCACTTAAACACAAAAAGACAAGTACACACACGCACACACACTCAAACAAAATAAACACGCAGTTCAGAGGAGGAAGTGCAGCTACAGTAGCCCACATGCATCAAAAAGGCTGTGAAAACACCACACCAGCTTTCAGCCATCTGCAAATTTTATTTACTTTTTCTGTTGCTTTCTGCAGGCAGCGTCTCCCTCAGGTTGTAGGGTGCCCTCTGCCATTGTTCTGTGAATATATGTTAAATGAGTTGTTTATAAATGGTAAATGGCCTGTATTTGATATAGCGCCTTCTAGAGTCCTGGAACCCCCCAAGGTGCTTTACAACACAATCAGTCATTCACCCATTCACACCCTGGTGGTACATCGTAGCCACAGCTGCCCTGGGGTGCACTGACAGAGGCGAGGCTGCCGAGCACTGGCGCCACCGGTCCCTCCGACCACCACCAGCAGGCAAGGTGGGTTAAGTGTCTTGCCCAAGGACGTGACAGACTGAGCGGGGCTCGAACCTGCAGCCTTCCGATTACGGGGCGAGCACTTAACTCCTGTGCCACCGTCGCCCCCGGAAGGGGAACATCCATACATACGGGCCTAAGTCTGTCTGTGAAAGTGTCAGAGAGAGGCTTCCCTATATAAATATAATATATTATAATCATATAATTACTTGTTGTGTATTTACAATAATTTCATTCAGACCAAAACAAGCTGCTTGTCTGGCGGATTTCTGGTCTCAACAGGGTCAATGCCGGAGGTAGAAGTGAGCCCAGCTCTCCCTGTTAGCTGCTGCTGCTGACTGAAGCATCAAACCGAGGCCCATCTATGGCACCAGAACACTTGAGTGGTCTGACCGTCATAAGTTCAGCCTAGCTTGGAAGCAGCACAGCATCAGATGACCTCATTGGTGACTTTCCATCCAGATAAACGAGATGAGTGCATCTGCTAAAGGCTTCTGCTGTTGTTGAACAAGGTTGTTCATTCACTCTGTGCACACTAAGATGTAAACCTGAATGACACTAATGCCTCTGCATGTGGTGTGATTCTGTTGATCCAGACATGTAGTCTGGTACCTGTTTGTCTCAGGTTCAGGTGGATGATGATGCCTGTTCTTTTCATCTAACGAGAAAGAAAGAAAGAAAGAAAGAAAGAAAGAAAGAAAGAAAAAAAGAAAGAAAGAAAGAAAGAAAGAAAGAAAGCAATCTTTTATTTCGCGCCTCTCAAGATAAAAAACACAAAACAGAATTAAAATACAAGAACGCCTCCTCTAAGTCGGAGAATGTTGTTAATTGGGTTTCGAGGTTCAGCATAGCAGCTCCTTGTAATAACAGCAGCAGTTGTGGTGGAAGCATGTTTATGTGACCGTGGTAACGCTTTACTAACTGTGACCTGATCCATCATAATAAGTCCTAGAATATTTTATGCAGTCATGTCTCATGCATCAGTTTTCATTTGTGCAAAAAAATTAAATGTGACTTAATAGAAAAATTAGTTATCCAATTTTTCAACAATTCAGATTAAAAAATCCATTTTACCAAGACTCGGGATCACTTGTCCAGCGTGTCCTGAACTCTGGCACAAGAAGAGCAGCAGCAGCTCTGGATCACGAGCCTTCATCAGTGGTTGATTTGCTCTTCTGACTGGGTGAAGTTAGCTTACATTTGCAGGTGATTTTGTGCATTTTCTACATAAACAGAGAGGAGAAAAGCAGCTCCATTTGCAGAAATAACCCACAGGAGGCTGAACGGCGGTAGATCTCCGGGTCTCTTCTCCACTGCTGAGATTACAGTCCACATTTCTAAGACACTAAAATTTTCCTGGGTATTGTTTCTTTGCATCTGTTTTAATATGAGCTGCCTTTAAGCTGCCTCTCAGTTTGTTCTTGTCTTTTGTGGACATTAAAAATGGCGCAGCACTCCCGTAATGCCTTCAGAATCAGAAGGTTTTATTTCCTAATGTGTGAGAAATCACAGCACTAGGAATTTGCTGCGGTACTTGGTGCAAAGAAGATAAAAATAAGAGATGAATGGAAATAATTTGAGAAGTAGCTACCATATGTACAGTGTAGGCACTGATCAGAGCGGATCAGTTCAGGTGCAAACACAACACCGGGTCATGTGACTGGAACCAAGCGACTGGAGAGGGCAGACCTAGGATCGTCGTTCATGAGACCAACCGCAGAGGGGAAGAAACTGTTCTTGTGGTGAGAGGTTCTGGTCCGAACGGACCTGAGCCACCTGCCAGATGGGAGCAAGTAAAAAACACAGTGTCCAGGGTGACACGGGTCAGCTGCTATCCGACCTGCACGACTCAATGTCCTGGAGGTGTACAGGTCCTGACCTTCTCAGCAGCTCGTACGACATGCTGCAGCCTCTTCTTGTCCCTGATGGTGGCTCCAGCGTACCACACGGGGATTGAAGAGGTGAGGATGGACTCGATGGCTGCGGTGTAGAAATGCCTCATCGACTGTACCGATGGGTAGAATTTCTTCAGCTGCCTCAGGAAGTTCATCCTCTGCTGGGCCTTTTATGATGGAGGTGATGGTGGGCTCCCAGTTGAGGTCCTGGGTGATGGTGTCAGCTCCAAAGCCCTACAGGGAACTTTTTACTGACTGGCTTATTGAACTGGCCTGTATTGGAATGCTCACGTGAAGCGCCTTGAGATGACTCTTGTCGTGATTTGGCGCTTTCTAAATAAACTGAATCGAATTGCACACATCTGGATTGAGTAGGGCTGATGTGACTGGCATCCAGTGGAGAAAAGTGAGGAGTTCAGTTTGTTCACCACAGAGGTGACTACAGGTTCACCGATTCTTCAACAGCTGCACATTCTTCAGCTTATTCTGATATCATTTAAACCCAGTGATGGTTGTAATCTAGTTATTATACCTTAGTGATGATTACCTGAGCCACAGAATCAGGGTTACAGCAGGACTAAGGAAATGATCAGGAACTCTAACTGGTTCCAGTTGGATAACCGGAGGATGATTTAGGAAGATGGGAGATCTTGACAAAGATAAAACTGATTTATGTGCGGTGAACAGGTGAGCGATCCTTTCCATGGTCTCTTGACCACTACCTGACACACTAAGTGCTGTCAGCGACATTGATTGGTTGCGTAGAGTGAACTGGACAGTGCTAGTCATTCTTTAGCTGTAGTTACCACTTGTTACCTGTTACTGAATGGGCTGCATTATTAAATGGTTCAGAATAAATGATGTGTTTTGAACGTAGAAAAAATGCTGGAGGTGCTGCCTTTTATCTGGTCCTCTCACTGGTGCTCTTCAGCCAAGGGATCCACATGAATGTTGGGCAAAAGGAGATCCGAGGCACTCAGGAGATGCAAAATTCCAAAAATGTTGCAGCCTTTGAGCGCCTCAGATCTCCTTTTGCCCAACATAAATTATGTGTTTATTTTATTTATTGTTCAGATTAGATTTTATTTAATTATTTAATTTTATTTTATTTGCTGTTCACAGAGAATGTGGAGAAGTGCACACTTGCACAGTTAGAAGGATCTCTGATTATAACCTAATAATTACCTAATGTGTGATTTATACATGCTTATGCAATGTTAAACATGAATGATGCATTGGTCTCATAATGTCAGTAGTGTAAAGTTTACGACAAACCAGGCTTTTCTCATGAAACCAGAACCTACAGAACCACGTTCTCTTTGTGTTCCTCAGCTCTGACCGCAGCAGCGGGACGCGGCCAGCTTGCCATCTGCAGGCTGTTGTTGGATCAGGGGGCAGCTGCAGAGCAAAGCAACAGGCAGGGGCTCAGTCCGCTGTCCAGCGCTGTGAGACAAGGTCACTCACAGGTAACACACTCAGGCACACACACACACACACACACACACACACACACACACACACACACACACACACACACACACACACACACACACACACACAGATACCAGGGACAGATACAAACAACTCTCGCACAAAAGCACACACACAGCAACACAATCATACACACACACAGACACACACATGAACACACCAGAGACACACACACGAACACTAGCGGTTTATGAAAGGTTAGAGGTCATGTGCAGGTCCAGGTGAAAAGATGGAACCCTTGTTTGGAACAGAGAGATGTTAAATATGTTCCAGACCCTGTCCTGAGACGCTGTGTAGACCACCAGTGGGTGAAACGGAGCTAACCCATTATTTGTTGATGTTGTGCTCACATAGAGTTTGACTAGATCTAAACATTCAAGCCAGGCCTTTTGTTTTTTCCATGCATTTTGTTAGCCTGCTTTTTATTGTGCCATTGTTTCTTTGAACAAGACCAGCAGATTGTGGGAATTTTTCCTCGTTTAGGGCACATATTGGCCTGATTTTTGAGGCAATTTTATAGATCGTATGTTGAAAAAATTCTCCTAAAAGGCTGTAAATAAAATGCTGTAAATGTGTGGTTCACTCCAAGAGACACACACACCTTGCTCCAGCAAACACTTCAAAGGCATGCCCCAGCCAACAGCAAAATACAGAACAGAGCTTTTATCTGACCACAACACAACTCCAAGCCAAATTAAAATTAAAAGTTTGACCAAAATGCACCAAAATGCAAAGCCACTAACAGCACGACACCATTCACACAGTTTATGAGGAAAAATAGAGGAAAGTTAGTGTGAGAGCTCTCAGAAACAAAGTTATGGCCAACAAGACATGGATAACAAAATTATCTTTGTTATAATAATATAACAGCATTCATACGTTCATTTATATAAAATTTCTAATTTATTAATATAAAATGACTTCTTATTTCATTTTCCTTTAATTTCTTAGTTTTACTTCTCATTTTGACTTTGTATAACACACTTTTTGACTCCTTCACGAGTAAACTCTTCATTTTAGCTTTTTATCATTACCTCTACAGGATTAAATGTTTTATTTTAGTCGTTTATTTTAAATACCAATCACTCACTTTGATTAGGTGTAAAAGGAAAACAGACTTAATTCAATTCAAGTTTATTTATATAGCGCCAGATCACGACAAGAGTCGTCTCAAGGCACTTCACATAATAAACATTCCAATTCAGGTCAGTTCATTAAGCCAATCAGAAATAATGTTTCCTATATAAGGAACTTACTGATCAGCCTCTCCCCTGGGACGTGTGGATCAAACCGAGCCATACGTAGGAGCGGACACGATGGGAGACAACGTCCAAGCAGCTAGCCCATGGGACAATGGAAGCCCCGGGACTTTAAAGCCGTGCCATTGCAGCCCTTCGACGACATCCCTCAGCAGCCCCTCTACGCCAAGTCACGGCACCAAAATGTTGGGTATTTTTAAATCCTGACACGTAACCCTGAAATGAACCACACAGGAGAGGAAGTCAGTAGGGTTTTTTTTTTTACATGGGGTACAGCGGAGAGAGACAAGCCGAGAGCCTGTCCAAGGCCCTCGTTCGATCTACTCTGGCCTCCTCTCTGCATCATAGCTAGTTTTGTTTAAACACAGGCAAGCAGAGACAAAGGATGATCCATCACTGTCCACACTTAACCAATAACAAACACTGTTGCTTCTATCTAAGGCGGGACCTTCTAAAAAGGAAGTCTCAAGTTACAGGGGTGGCTACTAGCTTCCCTGTTGCCAAGCAGACCCTTCCCAACCCCCTACAGATAGACATCAGGCCGCTTTCCACAGTAATAGAGAGAATGAGAAAGAACTCTGTGGCTTACTTATTAACATATGATTACTTAAAAAGGAGCATTTAAGACAGTAATACATAAAAAATCTCCAACATATATATATATATATATGTGTGTGTGTGTGTGTGTGTGTGTGTGTGATCTAAAAAGCATCTGTTTGTCTCTATCAGGTGGTCGAGCTGTTACTGAACCACGATGTTGAGTTGAACCGGGTTGATCAGCAGGGTCGAACGGCTCTGATGACGGCAGCCTCAGAAGGACATTTAACAGCTGCCCAGCTGCTGCTGGACCATGGTAACTTCCACCTCACATCCAGCTAAGCTTGGTTATCCATGGGTGATTTCACACAGAAGCTACATGACTTATTAAAGGGGTTTACATTCAGACTGAGTTCTTACTCACAACAGACCCAATAAATAGGTTGGCAAAACCGTGATTTAAATACTATCAACTACTATCATAGTTGGTTCCAATCTTATCTCAAAGACAGGAGTTATGTTGTTACTAATGGTGATCACAAATCAAAGCTCTTCAATCTCTACATGCTCCCAGTGGGTCAGGTCATAAACAATAACAACATTGTCTATCATGTTATGCAGATGACACCCAGATCTACGTAGACTGTGGTCCTTTAGACTCACTCTATCAGTGTTTGGAGCAAGTTATGGATTGGATGCAACCAATCGTCCTCCAGTTAAACAAAGACACGACTGAAGTTATGGTCTTTGGAAATCAGAAGGATAGGATGGAGGTTATTGCTCAGTTTGGCTCCAGAGGAATAAAGACAAAGACCCAGGTTAGAAATCTTGGAGTCATAATTGATTCAGACCTGAGCTTCACTGGTCACATTTAGGCTAGAACTAGATCAGCGTTTTATCATCTGCATCAAATAGTGCAACTCAGGGGTCTCATGTCCAGACAGGACCTCACACACACGAACACTAGCTGTTTATGAAAGGTCAGAGGTCATGTGCAGGTCCAGGTGAAAAGATGGAACCCTTGTTTGGAACAGAGAGAGGTGTTAAAATATGTTCCAGACCCTGTCCTTGGTGGCACACAACTTTCGGAACACGAAAAAACTTTAGTTTTTTTCCCGATTGGAGCGATTGCTACAACCGTAGACCGCACAGACTTTGGGCATTTCGAGGCAGAGTGAACAAAGCAACAACGTTTCTGTTCAGCGGCATCTACTTCCTGACCCCCATGCACGACACGCCCACAGCAAAGTAGATGCAAAGTCATCTGAAACCCAGCAATAACTGAAATTGCCTTGCCTTTGTAATGTGGAACTTTGCATTAAAACCGAATTAGAATTAGCCAACTGTGATCCCCACATCTTTAATGGTTCTTTCTATTTCTGTCTCCAGGCTCATCTCTGGACCAGGCTGACAGGGAGGGCTTAACGGCGCTGAGCTGGGCGTGTCTGAAAGGCCAGCTCTTATTGGTCAGGGAGCTGGTGGAGAGAGGAGCTGACACCGCTCACGCTGACCGCAGCGGGCGCACTCCTCTTGACCTGGCAGCTTTCTGTGGTGACCCTGAAGTGGTTTGTGAAGCCCATCTTACTAAAGCCGGGCTGTTTTAAGTAAAGCCATCCAGTAGTGAAAATCTTTTAATAAAATTCTTTTTTGCTAAGAATTTTTATGGAATTTTGTTGAGATCTTACTAAAGTACTGTGAAACTCCTCTCTACTTAAAGTTAATTAAAACAGATTCATTAGTTATTTGACTGAAAACAAAGCTAGAATGCCTATATTATAGTTATGTCTGTGAAGGTTCTCAGTCATCTAGGTCATTGTAGTCTAATGAGCTTTGAAAGAAAAGTGTCTGGACCTCTTTGAGTTGCTTGAAGACGTTTCACCTCTCATCCGAGAGGCTTCTTCAGTTCTAAGGTCAAATGGTGGAGGGTCCCAGATTTAAACCCAGTGAGAGTTTCCCCCCGAAGAGGGAACAAAAGACCCCCTGATGATCTTCTACATAAACACATGAGCCAAGGTGTGAGGGTGGGTGTGGGTCCAATTCAGCCAGAGTTTCGGGTGAGCTCCTGGGCCATCTGACCTCAGGAATTCACATGATACGGTGGGGCCAGGCTTCACAATGAGCTCACCCAAGCAACTCAAAGAAGTCCAGACGCTTTTCTTTCAAAGCTCATTAGACTATATTATAGTAACATTTTAAAGTTGTTGCCTGTAGCGTGACATCATCTAGGAGAGGTGGAGAAGCATATAAAATTTGAATATCTGTAGCTATGCCCCTGCTCCCCCTCCTCTGGAAGGAGCTAAACCACGCCCTATACGACATGGGAAAGTGGAGTCAGCAGAAAGAGCTGAAACAATAGACTGATGCTACGCTAATGACTTAGCTACAATGCACACAAGATCAATTCCTTCTCGTTGCCCCCAGAGTGAAGCTTGAAGTTTACAGACTGGCGTTAACTCATTGCAGATCTAGTTAGCCAGTGCTATATAGGACTTGTGATCGTGACATCATCACCGATGCAGCCGCACTGTTGGAGGCGTGTGAGTCCTACTTGTTGCTTGTTACTACTGTAAACAGCGCGCTCAGTCTTGTTCTTGCAGCTTAAATAAATCCATTATTGATTTGGTCGATATATTACACAACTCTAGTAAATCGTTGCTGTGTTGTGGGGTGGCAAATGTGATCGCCAGGGGAAAAGGGTGGAAAACAAGATAACTTTTCACCGTTTTCCTGCTTAGAGGCAAAACCACGGAGACCAAGTATCTAGCATTAACAAGTCTCGTTGGCTCACTTGGATCGCTGCTGTAAGGCGACTAAACATCACCTTCTTGTAATGACCAGAACTTGAGGACCCGTGAAGACACCAGAAACAGTAAGACGATTTAACAGTCTTTGTTAGCCTGAAGCTAAGAGGAGGTGTTACCGGAGTATAACTCGTAGAAGGCAGGCATGGGTCGGAACCAGGTAGAGACGAAGCAGGTACACGTAGCAGGCGAGGGCCGTGGAGGCAGGCAGAGTACCTGGCGAGGGTCAGGCATGAAAACGAGGTCGGGAGGCTATGATCAGGCAGGATGAGCTGGAAGCATGAGTGTTCAATAATCTGGCAATTGTTGGAGAGCAGGCCGGATCTTATATAGTAGGAGAGGCAGGTGTGTGGCATGAGCTTGATGAGGGAACCAGGTGTGATGAATGAAGGCTGAAGAGATGAATGATGGTTCATGGAGGTCAGGGCATGGACGTCATTTTTTTTTGGGGGGGGGGGGGCATGTCCCCCCCACTTTTTCCAAAGTCAAGTTTTGACCCCTGCACTTTTTACCATCCAAAAACAATATTACTTTATATTAAATTGATACTGGTTGAGCTCTAGGACCAAGCAGAAAACAACCGTTTGTGTTGAAGCCTGTTTCCCATTAGAGCATACTGTAAATAGCCCCCCCCCCACACACACACACACACACACACCCGTGTCCGTCTCCCCCCCACACACACACACACTTCTAATGTGAAAATTACATCCATGGGTCAGGGCATGGCAGGATCATGACACTTGTGGAGTATTTTCATTCTGGTAAGTTACAGATGGTGTACGCTTTTTTTACATTGTTTCTTTCCTTCAACCGTGACACACACACACACACACACACACACACACACACACACACACACACACACACACACACACACACACACACACACACACACACAGAGGCTACACATACTGGTTAGCTAATGCGGGTGCGCTGACACACAACACAACTTCGGATGTAGGATGACAATTTTGATTGTTTTACTAGAAAAACCAACAAATAAGATGTTTACCTCTCATCCGGACGTTTACATCCGCTCACATCACAAACAAGATAGCCGAAAATGTCCGTTATGCAGAACTGCAGTGGCAACAATATGTCATCGGTGCTCCAGTCTTGGGTCTGTCATGTGGATAAAAACCATTTATAACTCTGATTTAGTCCACATTCCGGTCCCCGACATCTTTCTATAACATATCCGTTTACTCTGCATCCTTGTAGGTCTTTTGTAATGTTTAACACTTTCTTTCACCCAAATCTGCTTCTTCTCTTTGACAGTACCGTTTGTTTCACGGTTTGTTTACACTCGTCAAGCTTCCAACATGTCCGTGCACATCCCATAATGCTCTGCGTAATCATGTGTGATCACAAGCCCCCTGTGGTAAATGCAGCATACAAAAATTATCTGCATTATTGTTATTTTATTTGATCTAAATTTATGTTACATTTCTCTAAAATACAGACTCAGTATTTATCTCTTCATCAGTTCTGAGCCCGTGAGGATCATGAAGCTCTCTCCATCTTTTAAAAGCATCTTCGATGTAAAATCTGCTCGACTGTCTCAAACGTCTAATGGCGACTTTTGCAAAAGGACCTTTAAACTTAAAATTTCTATGAGAAGTTGCAGGCAGTAGAAGAATCAGTAACTTTGGTATTTGTTTTGGGTGGTCTTCCGGCGGCCATTCTCGGTTAGTGACAGCTCCCTCTGAAGCACAAGCAACTCTACTTACCCCATCTGTCTGTGTACTGCTGCAGGTCCAGTACCTGGTTGACCATGGTGCCTTGGTGGAACACGTGGACTGCAGCGGGATGCGGCCTCTGGACCGAGCTGTTGGCTGCAGAAACACTTCAGCTGTGATTGCGCTGCTCAAAAAGGGAGCCAAAATAGGTAAAAAACACAATCTGTTTTACTTTTGCATGATTCCTGCTGCTGAGTCAGGGGAACTGTGTCATGGATTGGGTTCTGACCCACAGCCAGAGCTGAACCCTTTGGTCAGTTGGGCACAAAGGAGTTGGACAAACAAATAAAAAACATTTTCTACCGTAAATCCTCTAATATTAGCCTGTATTTAATTAACTGCCGGGTATCATATTGTGGCCGGTGTCGGAGTCAGCGGAGGTGAATAATGGCCGGTTTTCTATTGTGGCTGGGTGGAATGTGGTAACAAGCAAGTACGGGGGGCGGTTGTGTCATCCGTCTCACTTTTGATTTGCCAGTGATAGACCGCGAGGGTAACTTTAACCGTGCGGAGACGAAGAGGAGACGAAATTTTGATATCAAGTTCAAAGAGAACGTGCTGATTATGCTGCAGAACACTCTGGGGAGCAGTAGCAGGGCTTGTATGAACTAGTCACTAGTCGACTTAACTGCTCTATAGTGACTTTTTATGCCTGTCATCGACTAGTCGCTGTCATGTGATAATGACCGGCAAGATGCAGTCCTCGGAAAAGACAGCAGCCTGCTGTCAGCAGGTGACAAGCTCCTGCGCTCGGGGGGGCAACGCGCTGTGCCAGAGCGTCGGTACTGACACCCGCCGTAAAACGGACATTTAACCAAATTGTGACGTTTACCCTCTTGCAATTTAACCTTCCCCTCACCCCATCCTAACCTTAACCAGCTTGCGCATGCAAAGCTCTGATCGTTGACGCGCTCCAGACATCTGCGTCCTGAGCACGGCCACAGTAACGTTATCAAATCAGGTGTCGCCACCTCAAAAACTAGTTTAACACGCGATCGTTCATGTCGGCTCATTTCCTTTTATGTTTTCTGTCTTTTATTTGTGCCTGATGCTTTTCGCTGCTGTGGATCGGGGTGCATCACCTGTTTTGTCCTCGGTGACGCACCTAACTGATGTGGCCGGCGCGCACTCCGCTGTTTTTGCGGTCGGTAGATCTTTTAGAACTGCAGTTCAAAGGTAACTCATAAGGTGAATATATATGAACCCAGGCAGCAGCTTTTCTTTAGGATTGAGAGGAGATGCAGGAAGATAATAAACAGGCAGGACAGAAAAATAGTCAAATAAAAACAAGTTAGTTTTTGTACCTGCTGGTTGCAACAAACAGACACCATTGAAGGTAATCAGAAGTGAGGAACAGAAAATGAAATAATTATTTTAATGTTTAGAGCAGCAGGAACTCTGAGAGGCTGCAGGCGCATCAGTGAGTTTGCGGCCGCTGCGCGGGGGGAGGGGGGGGGGGGGGATGGCTGAAGCAGAAACTACCGTTGTTAAAAGAAATGTGTTTAACTTTGAAAATGTGGGCTCAATATTAATTGTCAAAAACTCCAGTGAACCATTAGTTCATTTTGCTCAAGTAGAAATTGAGGCCTGCCTCTAATTCTGGTCCTCCTTCCAATAAAGGCCTGGAGCTTGGTGAGCTTGAGTCAAATACAGGCCCGGGCCTGTATTAGAGGATTTACGGTATATTTATTATCTGATGTTGAAGGTGTGAGCCAACGCAGAGCTGTGTACAGCCTGGTTCACTTGCTCCACCTCTCACAACAATCATAAGGATAAACCATTACCAGAAAATCTTATCAGAAAATCCTACCGTGTGTTGTGTCATGAGCATTCTGGTCTACTCAGAAGGATGTTGGGAACACTGGGATCATGAATCCAGGGTTTCAAATATGTTGGACTGATGTGGCCTGGAACGTACTGATCAGTTGAACGTGACACGTAGCAAATCAGAAAGCAAGGTGATGGAAGCGCACTGCCATAGACGCTCCTCCTCCGCCATGTTTGTTTACATTAAAGTCATGTTTCATCTTGTGAGAGTTCCTGTCTGGGTGAGCGATATCTGGAATAAAATCGGTTTGTGCGCACGGGCAGAACAGGACCAAAGCTCACACACAAACTTTAATTTGTGTGTGTGTGTGTGTGTGTGTGCATGCGTGCGTGTGCGTGTGTGTGTGTGTGTGTGTATGCGTGCGTGCGTGTGCGTGTGTGTGCGTGCGTGCGTGTGCGTGTGTGTGTGTGTGTGTGTGTGTGTGTTCAGGACCGGCGACGTGGGCCATGGCAACCTCTAAACCTGATATTTTAATGGTTTTACTGAGTAAAATGATTCAAGAAGGAGACAAACTTTACAAGGTAACACACTCATGATAAAACACCTTCACAGTTAACGTGATGAACACACTTTCTGACGACGACTTGGTTTCTCTTTGTGCGTTTCCAGCAGGGAAAGGTGAGGGAGGCTGCTCATTTGTATCAGTCAGCTCTGCCGAAGTTTCCCAGCGATGAGCTGAAGTCCTTCAGACAGCTCCGAGTTTGTGTGCTTCTCAATTTGTCCCGCTGTCGCCGCAAACTGGACGTGAGTGTTCGCCATCACCACAGTCATGTCTCTGGTCAACAGTAGTGTACTTACTGTTGTGTATTTGTATTTATATTCATGTATTTCAGAGACTTTTTAACGCAAACAAATGCATCCCTCGTTCGCCCCCCACCTCTTCATGGGGTCGCCACCTTCAAACCCACGTTTCCTCTCACGAGTTACAAGTTTGCTGCACATCTCTGTCCTCCTTCAATGAAGGTCGCAGAACTGTTCATGTTGTCAAACACAAGACGTTCTGTGATCTGCTCTGTGTCTCCTGCTTGATGTCTTTGTGCTGCTGACGAGTTTAAAGGGAGTGGCAGGGCAGACCAATCACGGGCTTGTGCTCCCAGTAGTGAAAACTGGGGATGTTGCTGTCACCCGCTGTGGGCGAGCCACGGATCATGATGTTAAACGACTCTGTACCCTCACAGAGGTGCAAACTAGGCTTTAGATGCCTCTTCTCAGTTTGTTTGAATGGAATCAGCTGATTTCTTTAGTGAATCTAGACTTTTACATTTTTTAGCTAATTAATTTTCATTAGCAGCACAGCTTAACATCAGATTCACTTTTAAAGCATAAGCTTTACCAGTGGAACAGACCCGCTCTTCTAATACCATGTGGAAGCATCGTCCGGGATTTCTGATGGTTTGGTTTCAAAGCAAGTACAGACACAACAGTTGAGTTTTTAGAGTGTGTTCTTAATATTCTATGCATTTGGTGGCACGTGTTGCAGCTCGTATCCCTTAATAGAAACATTAATCCTTCCAGTCACAGTTAGCATGGCTACAAATCAGCACGTTGCATATGTGACGTCACCCCCTAGCGTAGCTGCTACTCACCACATGGTGAGTTATGGTGGTTCTTTCCTCCTGAAGGAAGGATTTGAAGTTCGCTGAACTTACAGCCATTTTCCCTGTTTTTCTCCGTGTCTCCATGTCTGTTTTCTACGCTAGGGCAGAAGAGATTCTATGATGACGTCACATATGCGACGTTTTGATGTCACATTTGTAGTCGTGCTAATTACAAACTTTTACAAGCTGATAAATCTCAAAGTACGTGGCTGGCGTGGTCGAAACACCCATCATTACTTTTCATTTAAATTGCAGTACAACATGTGTGTGATCCAGGGCGTAAGGCAAAGCGGATTAGAAAATCGAGTTTTTTGCCTCATTGACTCACATTCATTTTTTCATTTTTCCGAGCAACCATGAGTCGACCGGAAAGGGAGGAGACTTAGGCTCCCTATAGGGCTCCGAGCTGGATAAGACTCCGTAGCAAGCCCTGTTACGAGTTTTCCTTGAGCTCATGCGGTCTCTGTGCACAGCCATCAGACCACATGAGTACCCTCCAACACGAATTAGCCAGAAATGAAATACCTGGGTTTTAGCTTAAGAGCAGTCATGAAATCACATGGATTTTCTTTTTTTTAACATGAGTTTTTAACCTTTCTGTAGAACCATAAAATGGCCTAATACCAAAATGAAATGCATTCAATGCTTCAGTGCATATTATGAAAAAACGTTGCGTATTTATGAGTAAGAGAAAACAGATTACCAAATATTCAGGTTATTACTTACCTTCAATGAACTTCCATTGTAAAAGATCTCCCTTCTGCCTACACGTACCCATAATGTCGCCAGTATGCTTTCATGTTTGTTATAACCAAGTGTTATATGGGTTGTAATTAGCCATAATGGCTTCTATTTTTTTCTGCAGGACTTCAGCCTTGCAGAGGAGTTTGCAACCAAGGCTCTGGAGCTAAAAACTAAATCCTATGAAGCCTTTTATGCTCGTGCTCGAGCCAAGCGGAGCCGCAGGTAACCTTCAAATCCTCAAGAAAAGCCACTGAGTGAAACTGAACCATGAAATTCTCACTTTTTACAAAGTCAGTCGGTATTTTTCTACCAGAACTTTGCTTTGGTTACTCATTCAGTCAATTTATCTTCTGAAGGAAGAGACTGTTAACTCAGCTATGGGCTAATCTGACCTTCCAGTTATTAAGACCATTTTTCACTTTAGTATTTGAAGCACAGGAGCATAGTTCTACCTCCGTGGTCTTATCACTGGTTTGGCGGACTGGGGAGGTGGTCCCCTTATTTAAAAAATGGGGAGTGTAGGATGTGTTCCAACTGCACACTCCTGAGCCTTCCTGGTAAGGTCTATTCAGGGGTTCTGGAGAGGAGGGTCCATCAGATTGTTGAACCTTGGATTCGGGAGGAGTAATGTGGTTTTGGTCCTGGCCTTGGAACACTGGACCAGCTCTATACCCTTAGGGGGATCCTAGAGGGTGCGTGGGAGTTCGCCCAACCAGTCTACATGTGTTTTGGGGATTTGGAGAAGGTGTTAAATGTTGTTCTTTGGGTGGCCCTGTGGGGAGTATCAGGCCTTTTGTTATGTCGCTTACCCATTAGCGTCAGCACAGTCTGGGTTTGGTGGGGCTGGATGGCGTGAGTTCGGTCTCCTACGGGCGGTGTAGTGTTCACATAGAAATCGAGGGACTTCTCAAGAACGCAAAATCCCTGAGCTTGTGGGCGGAGCTTATTACACGTGGGAAAGTCCACCGTGTCCTCCATTATAAAGTAAACAAAGGCAGACATGAGCTGCTTTGCTTTTGGAGACTCTGAACCACTTTATTTTATTCATTTGTTGTGTGCGTCCTCATAATGTGCTGGCTGCTCTGCACTGGCTCCCGGTGCAATATCGAGCTAAATTTAAGACCTTAACTCTCGTTTATAAGGCCCTCCAGGGCAGTGCCCCCTCTTACATTACTGCACTTTTGCACAGGTAGGCTCCATCTCGGTCTCTTCACTCAGCCGAACAGGGACGTCTGGTGGTCCCCCGGTCGAAATATCGATCGAGGGGTTATCGTGCATTTTCTGTTTTGGCTCCAACTCTGTGGAATGAATTGCCATTGAGCATTAGGCAGGCGCCGTCCCTTCAAGTCTTTAAGTCTCGTCTAAAGACTCATTTCTATTTGATTGCTTTTCAGCGCTAGGGTTCATTGAATTGCCCTGACACCATGGTTTTTAATACTTCTTCCTTTTGATCAGGATGCTTGATTTTATTTTGTCCACCATTTGTTTTTAATAGATTAGTCTTATTTAGGGCTGAAACGATTCCTCGAGTACCTCGAATAATTCGAGTACAAAAAAATCCTCGAGTCAAATTCTCTGCCTCGAAGCTTCATTTAATTCATGTTTAATTAATTCATGGCTTTGAAATCGCCCGGGGTCATGTTTCACCCGGACCGAAATAAGTGACGCACATGCATACTGCACTGAATGCACACGCGAGTAGCGAACGCAACTTAACTTTCTTTTAAGCCATGGCGGACAACGTGGACCCCGGTGGAGTGCGAAAAAGACACAAAATTTCAAAGGTGCGGGACCATTTTTCACGTCGTAAGGTGGAAAACGTAGTCCAGTGTAAATACTGTAAAATGGATTTAGCCTAGCACAACACCACATCCTCCAAGCTGCAGCACCTGACCAGGAAACATCCACATGTAAATGTCACTTCTGCAAGCGGACTCGGAGCCTCTACAAGATATTGGATTTTAGCCTGTATTTCTATATATTCTGCAGGCACTGTGCAACTTTTTCATTTGTAGCACTCAGTTTCTGCTCACACCGTACGTCTGGTAGCAGCACGTCAGACTTAAAATGTGCTAAAAATAGTTTTTACAACACGTCGGACTTTTTACTGTGTTGTTATTGATGTCCGTTGTCCCTCGGGATTGCTGCAGGAGGACACGGGAATTTATGAGTGGCGGAGGAAAACGAAAGAAAGTAAAAAAATGTTGTGTGATCTGTATAATTTGACAAAACCACGGCAAACATGCTTTCGACAATCCTTGTTAGTGTGAGAAAAAAGTGTAGAAATTAAACGAACGTGTGTTAATAGGGAAACAGCTGGCGAGCCACGTTTGTGCATGCGCCATGAGCGGTTCTGGTGCTGTTTGGGCCGCAGCCGCTCGCATTTGTTTACTGTGAAGTAAAGTTGAAGTGCTGAAGTTTTGAAAACTTAATTTTGAATAAAACTTGAAGAATAACTGGCAATTGCTTGCTCATTTTAAGAGGTCTTTCATAATTATAACATGCTATTTGATATAATGGTTTAAAAACGCAAAAGAGTAATTTATTAGAGTACTCGATTAATCGATAAAAGATTCGATAGAGTACTCGATTACAAAAATATTCGATAGCTGCAGCCCTAGTCTTATTCCATTACTTCTCTGTATTTGTAATACTGCTTGTTTGTTATTTTATGATTTTATGTTTTTATCTTGCTCTTATGCCCAGGTACTGGGAATGTTTTTATGATGCTGTTCAGCACCTCTGGCTTCTGATGACGTTGTGGAAGGTGCTCTACAAATAAAATTAATTGATTGATTGACAATCTTGTGACACACACACACACACAGACACACACACACTGCCTTCTCCCTCGAGCAGCTGTCTGCTCGCCAGGGCAAGAGCTCCGAGACAGAGAACAGGCACACACACACACACAGCTAACTTATTCCGTTTCCACTGATCAGCAGCTCCGTGCTACAGACAGAGAAGTTTACTCAAAAGCATGAAAATACACCCCCCCACCCCCACCCCGGCTCACTCTACTGGTAGGTAGGTAGGTCGGAAGGCATAATTTCAGGCAGCCCATCAGTCCGTAGTGTCGCCTCGGTCCCAGTCTGGCTGCTGGAGAAGAGTCGCCTCTGAACCAAAAATGTAAATCTGACTTGTGTGTGAAACCAAATTCCTGTGCCAGAAGGGACCGAACTGACGCTGATGTGTAAGCACCATTAGGTTCCTGTATGACCAGTGTCAGAGCTTGGTCCCCATTGCAGTAAGTCGAGCTCGTTCCTGTTGAAGGAGCCAAAGCTGTTGGCTTCATCAGAACGTGATCTCCAGCTCTCAGTGGAGCGGTTCACAGCCGAGTGCTAAGCAGCTGGGATGACAATCAGCTCCTCTGAACCTGAGACCATGGTCAGAAAAAGGTAGATGACCTTCTCCAGGTCAGGGATGAGGTTCTGCCCCAAGTGGAGGAGTTTAAGTATCTCCAGGTTTAGTTCACGAGTGAGGGAAAGCTGGAGCGTGAGATCGATAGGTGGACATGTGCTACGTCTGCAGTGATGCGGGCGTTGTACCGGTCTGTCGTGGTGAAGAGAGCTGAGTCAGAAGGCGAATCTCTCGATTTACCATTTGATCTACGTTGCTATGAGATTACGGATACAAGCGGCCAACACGAGTGGTGTCTGGGCTCTCCCTTAGAGATGGGGTGAGAAGCTCTGTCATCCTGGAGGGGCTCGGAGTAGACCTGCTGCTACGTCACATCGAGAGGGACCAGATGAGGTGGCTCAGGCATCTGGTCTGAATGCTTCCTGCATGTATCCCTGGTGAGGTGTTCCGGGCACGTCCAACCGATAGCAGACTCAAAGGAAGACCCAGGACACACTGGAGGGACTATGTCTCTCGGCTGGCCAAGGAACGCCTTAGGGTTCCCCCAGAGGAGCTGGCCAAGGGAGATGGAAATCTGGGCTTCTCTGCTTACGCTGCTGGAAATAGATGGATGGAGACCCACCCAGATCCATCTGTCATCTATTCATCCATTCATTCATCCATTCACTCACCTACCTGTTCATCTTTCCAAACTGCTTCAATGTGTCTGAGTGCAAACTATCCAAGGAAGCATTCCCAGATTCCTCCTCTTCAGTTACCTTTTCCCACCGCTCCAGGGCTCTTGTAATCCCTGCCTAAAATATAATCTCCCCAGTAAATCCTGGCTCTGCCTGAGAACCTGCTCCTGGTGAAACATGGTAGAAACGTCATACCTGGGACTCTCGGAGGCATCATGAATGCATTCTTCTCTGCCAGAGATGTCTGAGTTTTTAAGGTGGGGACGTGAAGATGGCCAACACCTAGACTACATTCACACGGCAGGCAAAAGCACATGAAATCTGATTTTTGTTTTCCAACATGCGACCCACACAGAACGCACAGATCCGATTTTTTAAAATCCAATCCGTGTGACTTTCATATGTGGTACTGATTCTAACACACATCTGATGTTGTAGAAAGCGGCCGCAGTCTGAACGGTCATGTTGCATTAAATCCGTCTCCTACGCCACTGAGTCAGCGGAGGTGAGCGTCGTGTGAGGACGTTCCTGAGGAGAAGCGCTGACAGAAGGGTTCAGATCTGACATCCTGTTAAGTTTTGAAATTAAAAATACTGAAGAGCCTGTGAATGGGGGCAGGAGGTGCTGCTGGAGCGCGGTCTCAGTGAAGGGGGTGGTGGGGGCAGTGCCGTGGGTACAAATTTCCTAAAGGGGTGCTGTGATCAGCGAAATACAAAATACCGCACACATGTTTAACGTGTGTAGATTTGCATTTATATGTAGGTTTATTCTTGTTACCATCAACACTGGAAAAGCCACAAATGACAAGTCAAAACTTCCAGAACCCTAACCCCCCCACACACGTTGGCAAGGGAGCTAACGGGCATGAAAAATAAACATTTAGATTATTTGAAAATATTATTGTACGTATTTGTAGTTGTGCTCAATTATATTCAAAACAAAATCTAATAAAATGCTTTATTTTTGCGTGCAGAAATTCTACATGCATATCATTTGTCATCCACAAGAGGGCGCTGCAGCACCCTCAGCACTCCTGCTTCCCACGGCTTTGGCTGGGGGTCTCCGTGAATTAACTCAATACCGGAACATTTTCAGTGAAAAAGGATTCAGGAAAATGGCGGGAACAAGGAGTTAAATAGTTTACAGTTATAAAAACAATTTTCAGCTCTAAACAGGTGTAATCAACTGTTGGTGAAGGCTCACATCATACCTCCACCTCTCCTGGTTCTGACTCCATTCAGTGTGACCTTCTCTTCTGTGCATGCGGGTCACTTTGGAGCCGTGAAGCGTTCACTCTGGAGAGAGTCTGATGTCTCATTTCAGTCGTAGAGTGAACAGCCACACAAAACAATCTAATTTACTCAGAGAATCAGAGTAGAGCATCAAGACCTGCAGTGTGAATGTAGTCTAAGAGCCTTGTGTGTCATTTTCTCCCTTTTGGTACCAAAATACTCACTGGTTGATGGTTCTATCACATCGTTCCCAGCACGTGTCAAAGTGTAATTGGGCACAAGGCACGGATCTTGCCAGTTACCCGTGCTACGTGGTGTGTGTGAATGGATGATGTGAATTTTAGCATAAAGTACTTTGAGTGGTCAGGAAGACTAGACGAGTTTAATATTAAAGCGCTTCGTACAACTATTTATCAGGAAGTCAGGTGAAGGGAAACGGATGAGCCCTCTCCTGCTCTTTTGACACAAAACAACCTGAGGTCTTACATTATTTGTGGCTGACAGCCATCTTGTTTGTGTTCTTTCAGACAGTTCCACGCTGCTCTGGAGGATCTGATGGAGGCCAGCCGTCTCTGTCCATCCAACCGGGAGATCCAGCGCCTGTTGTCAAGGGTCAAAGAGGAGTGTCTTCAGGCTGAACAACAGCAACAGGACTCTGCTCCTTCATCTCATCAGCTTCATCAACAAACCATAGCTTTGTCTGTCTGTGAGTCCAGGTGCGAAGATCCAGCCAGTCTTCAGGCGCAGGACAGGAAAAGCCAGAACAAAGAAGAGGAACAAGCAAAAAACAAGGACAGAAGCTGTACTTTTTATGCAAAGCAAGTCTCAAGTCCCACCCACTCAGCAGGCGTTTCCTCACCCAGTCAACCCAAGCCTCTTTCTGTTTCCCCTCCGTTTCCCAATGTCAGCACTCTGCCTTCATCCCAGCAACAACGACAGCAAACTCCCTCGCTGCTGGAAAGTGTAACTGGAGAACTGTCCCACCAGTCACCGTCGTTCCCAGCCCTCCACAACTCATATCAAAATCAGGAGGTGCAGCAGAACCACGCTGCAACCAGCCAGAAGTCTCTTCTAAAGCAGAACCCTGGCCAAGTCCAGTGGCTCCAGCAAGCCAAAGTGGAGGTGGTCAGAACCAGTCAACCTTCCTCTTCAGCCCACTCCAGCATGGTACTGGGAGGGTCGGCCTACTCCCAGTTTGCTCATCTTCCTCAGGAGTTAGCCGAATTGGGGGAAGGCTTGTTTCCAAGTCCTTTAGATGTCAGGTCTTCTCAGCAGGTTTGTGCTGCTCCACATGCTGTGGGAGATGTGAACGTCGCCCTTGTTTGCAAGGCGAGAACTGCCTCTCCCTATGGGAGAGGGTCAGGAGCAGACAAGACGGGAGCTAATCCTTTATTCCAGCCACGAATATTCAACCATAACCAGTCCAAGGCAGCATGCTACCCAATGGAGTTTACGGAGACAGCAAAGGGAGATCCCGATAAACCTCGTCCACCACTTGACTATCAGTACCAACACCAGAGTGGGTGTCGGCACCCACTCAGCACCCATCCAACCACTATGTCTGCTCCTCTCAGGCCCCTCATTCACTCCCAAAGTGTGAGTGCTCCGTTCTCATCTAGCAGTGGAAGCATTACTAGTGGGCCACCAAATCTAGTCCAAGGCTTCAGGACCTCCGCCTCTGCCCAGCACATGGATCTACCTTCAGATTTTGTGGAAGGAGTTTGTGCTTATAAGGAAGACTTTTTGCCTAATTCTACTTCCCAATCAGAAGTGAGCATTGCAGGAGGTGGGTCATATCCTGGAGAAGCAGGACACTCATCAAGGAACACTCCGTTTATGGGTGTAACCGACAAGACAGTTAGGGTGCACCAGCAGCAAGCTCCATCAAGTTCAGCATTTTGCCTCAGTCCTTCCCGCTCCTGGGCCATGTCCTCAGTGGACACAGTTGTTACCTCCCCCAGCAAAAACCCTGCTAGCCATGGAGGCTTTGCTCCACACCAAACCTCGTCCATTGCTTACTACAACCGCAGCAACAACAACGCCCACGGTGGCCCCCTCCATGACAACCAGCTGGACTTTTGTGAGGTGGTTCTGGGTAACGGTCAACAGGGTCCAGGTTTGGTACAGGTCACTCATCAGAATCCCTCCTATAAGGATGTAAAAGTGTCTCGAACACTGCCGGTTGCCCACAGCTGCTCAGACAGGCCAACAGGGAGAAGAACCGGTCCGACATCTCCTGTCAAACCAAAAAGACCATTTGTGGAGTCAAATGTGTGATGGGGAATGGAGGTGGATGTTTGCCCAAAGGAATCGTATATTGGAACATTCCAGGATTTCCTGGAGCTGATCTGCTCAACACAAACTTCTTTCTAAGTTGTTCAAGTGGCTAAAGTACCAATAGCAGTTTTATCACAAAGTCTCAGTTTTTACTAAAACTGGCAGCTTTTAATCAGCTGTTAGTAAGTCTGGTGTAACCAAGAGGTGGCTGAAGACGTTCTCAGAAGACCAATAGACACTTGAGAGAAGAGTTGGTGCTTTGTCCATAGTTGGTTTCAACACGATAAGCTTATGTTACACTCATGAACAAAGAAATATGAAGCAGTGACTGACAGAAACATGAAATAAACACAATCATCACCTGTCAAAGCACAAGATGGAAGAGGAAGATGATCAGAAATCAGAAAAACACTTAAATCTGATTCTTCTTCTCATGTCCTGTCCTCTGGCTTCAGTCGGACAAATGGGAGTTTCCTGCATCCTGATGGAGAACATTGTGTCTGACTGAACGAGACGATCCAGGCTTTAGGAGCTGTGCTAGTCCAGGGCCGTATCAGGACTGCCGAGCCACATGCTTACAAACAACGACTCGGCTGTTCTTAGATAAGCGCTGGTATTCTGTGTGTACAAAGCTGTATTTATCTTCTGTATTTAACTACAATTTTCTAAGTTGTTGACATTTTACTCATTTCATTTTTATGTTTGTACTCATCTGTACTTCTTTAGAGGAATTCCCATGTGGAACACACACACACACACACACACACACACACACACACACACACACACACACACACACACACACACAAATATACATACATACATAAAACCCACAGTGATCACAGAAATAACTTGAATTTGGTAAAAATAATAATAAATTAAAATTCTGTGAAATGTAACCAATGAAATACAGACATTGCTTTTCAACCATGCTTCTATGGAATTATTTAAAAAACTTAACTTGTGGAACAGGCTTGGACAAAAATGATGGTACCCTTAACTTAGTATTTTGGTACACAACCTTTTGAGGCAATCAAATGATTGACTTCTGCACCTCTCAGCAGGTATTTTGGCCCACTCCTAATGAGTAAATGCTCCAGTTGTCTCAGGTTTGAAGGGTGTCCTTTCCAGGTGGCATGTTTCAGCTCCTTCCGAAGATGCTCAATAGGATTGAGGTCAGGGATCGTAGAAGGCTACTTTATGTCTGCCCATAATCTTCTTCCTTTTCTTCAAGTGTATGTGCTGCTGTAGCAAGTGACTTTCCCCACTGTGGGATTAATAAAATCTGTTCTGTTCTATTTATAATAGTCCGATGTTTTCTCTTAGCCATTCTTGGGTGAGTCTAGCTGTGGTCGTTGTCCCGTTGCAAGACCCATGACCTGTGATTGAGACCAAGCTTTCTGACAGTTGCCAGCCCATTTCTGTCAAATCCATTGATAGTCGTGATATTTCATGGTACCCTGCACAGATTCTAAACACCCTGTGCCAGATGTAGCAAAAAATGACAGAGCCCCCTCTATGTTGCACATAGGAACTGTGTTATTTTCTTAATATGCTTCATTTTTCTGTCTGTGAACATGGACCTGATGTGCCTTGATTGGCAAAAGTTCCATCTTTGTCTCATCAGTCCAGAGGACATTCTCCAGAAGCTCTGTGGCGTGTCAACATGTAGTTTGGCATATTCCACTCTGGCTTCTTTATGGTTTGTTTTCAACAATGGATGGTGTCCTCCTTGGCTATCTGCCATGTAGTCCACTTTGCCTCGAACAACGACGGATGGTGCGACCTGACACTGATCTTCCTTCAGTTTGAAGTTCATATTAGATCTCTTTAGAAGTTTTTCTGGGCTCTTTTGTTACCATTCAGATTATCCGTCTCTTTGATTTGTCATCAGTTTTCCTCCTGCGGTCCAGGGAGGTCGGCCACATTCCCATGGATCTGAAATGTCTGAATAATATGTGCAGCTGTAGTCACAGCAACATCTAGGTGGTCTCATGGCCTTTACCTTTAACATGCTTGTCTATCATTGTCTTTCTAGTCTCCTGGGACAACTCTTTCCTTTGCTTCCTCTGGTCCATGTTGAGTGTGGTACACACCATGTCACCAAACAACACAGTGACTACCTGGAGCCCTATATTTAGGCCAACTGGATAATAACGAGATTGTAGACACCTGTAAGCTGAATAGTGGACACACCTGGAACTAACACGTCCCTTGGGTCACATTATTTTCAGTCTTTTCAAGGGGTGTCATCATTTTGTCCAGGCCTGTTCCACGAGTTTATTATTATTTTTTATAATACAATTGAAGCATGGTTGAAACACAAGTCTGACTGGTTAAGCTTCATTTAAGTTTTATGTATTAAAACTTTTGTCAGATTCAAGTTATTTCTGTGACCATTGAAGGTTTTTCTTTCATTGACTGAAGGGAACCAACACTTCTATCCACACACACACACACACACACACACACACACACACACATGCACTCATGTATACATGTCTCTGTGTGTGTGTTGGGTCAGTTTTTTCATGTCTTATTGTAATTTATGCAAACTCAAGGGATTCTGACACTAACTGGTCTCTTTGTCTCAACAAAATTAATGAGCCACTGATCACTGTGGGCTTTTACAGAATCTGTTGTAGTGAATATTATGGGATGTTGTGGTGGTTTGATTAGTTCATGTCACTAATTTTACTTCACAGAACCATTCTGAGTTTATGTATGAAGAAATATTTCACAGGAAGTCATGTCATGGCTCCACAGTCTAACAGATTATGAAACACCAGTCAGCAAAAGTAACCCCACATGAAGGTGCCAGCAGAGTGGATTAAATCTCCACTTCAACCCAATTTTCCATCCTCAGTAGCAGGGGAATATGGGTGACAGTTGATAGAAGACCCCCACACAACCAGGTCTGCGTGGAGCAGCTGGGTCCAGATCAGAAATGGATGTTTACATTTGTTATTCATTTTTATTAAAGCTCCAACAACAATCTAACCTTTAGTCATGGTATTGAATTGGCCCTTTTGAAAGATGTGTCATTTACGTGGAGAAAACCCAGATAGTTGGGACCATCTATGCTGCTTATGATGCCGAACCAGAGTACACCATACATAAACCAGTTCTGGGTCTTAGATGAAACAGATAGAATATGCTCTGAATTATTTAATGACAACTTGCCAGAGCACTGATGGCACCAGAGCCAAGCATCTATTTAAGAAGACCATGTAACTGTCCACATCTCCTGGCAGGGGATCTCAATTTTTGGATGGATGGAGGTACAGACAATATACTTTTTCTCTCACACGTCCATCACTTTCACTCCTGTTTGGATAATTTTCATGTCAGCTATGGACAACTTGTGTCCATAGGCTCAAATTATAAGTTTTTGTTCCCAAATAGGAGGTTAATACCACTGCTATTTTGACAGTGTCACAGATCCCATCACGCCCACACAATCTAAAAACGGGAAAAGCGGCATTCCTCAGTTGTAACAAGTAGTTATTTCAGTCAAAGTTGCTCTTCTATCAGCTTGAATTAGTCGGCCCATTATCTTCTGACTGCTAGTATTACGTCCCCGGCTCTCTAGGAGAGATGAGGAGGTGAGTAATAAAAGTGGTGTGTGGTTTTAATAATAATCAACGTGCAGTGTCACTTAAAAACAAGAATTTGATAACAAAAAATGGGATACTTACAAAGGGTCCTAACAATACTATGTACAAAACAAAATTTATATATATATATATATATATATATATATATATATATATATATATATATATATATATATATATAGGAGATAACCAAAAGCGCCACCCCAGAAGGGGGTGGGAATTTAATAACCGAGAATATAAATATAAATATACAAAAGGGGAGATCCGAGGTCGAAGTCAAACTACCAAAGGGTCTAATCCTAAATCCAAATCCAAATCCAAAAGCGAGCCAAATACCAAAGTCAAACGAGAACAAATACTAAGTTAAGCACACGAGGAGAAGAGAATAGTATAACCTCCTGAGAGTCTACACTATCCTGGACCTTCTCCCTGACTGAGGGAGGAGAGCAGCTTTTAACAGCTGCTCCCTGATTGATGATTTCAAACAGCTGTGGCACCAGGAGACAGGCGAGGCAAAGGCCACTGAGGCAATCTTGTGGCCGAAAAGGGCCACGGCACGTAACAGCTAGCCTCAAACAAGGCATTTTCACGCACAGGACTGCCGCATACTGGATGTTTTTCCCTTTGCACACCATTCTTTGTAAACCCTAGAAATGGTTGTGGGTGAAAATCCCAGTAACTGAGCAGATTGTGAAATACTCAGATCAACCCATCTGGCACCAACAACCATGCCACACTCAAAATAGCTTAAATGTTCTTTCTTTCCCATTCTGACATTCAGCTGCCATGTGATTGGTTGATTAGATAATTGCATTAAGAAGAAGTTGAACAGATGTTTCTAATAACCCTTTAGGTGAGTGTATATACCAAGTAGTGTTTCTAACAGCTGAAATAGAACAAAATGATGCAGTTAAAGAGCAGACTGTAGAAGAAAGTAGTCGAGTGTGGAAAGTGGTCAGTGTATCCTCCAGCAGTCTAACCCTATAGCAGCATAACTACAGAGATAACTCTGGATAACCCAGCCTTTTAGATGGAAGCACGTAGGAGGCAGGGCAAGGGAGAGCCGTCTTTACCGACTGTACACTCCACCTCCCTCTACTCCCCCACTTGTCCAGATCTAGGCTAACATCAGATTTTAACCATAGGCCCTATCAAATAAAAATGTTTTAAGCCTAGTTGTAACTACAGGGGTCCAACAAAGGATGGCCACGCATCATACTGATGTCTTCGGATGTTTATTTGGCTCTCTCTCTCTCTCTCTTATTATCTTCAGACACCGTGAAAACTGAAGAAACACAAAGTTTACACAATAACGGTTTGAACTTATCAGTCTCTCATACCATTGTCCATAAACAGTCTCGTGCAAGCAGAACAGAAAGAAAATGCGCAATAATGAATCACAAAATGTCCTCTCATTAACAGTGTAGAACACATATGCAACATTATACAAACATTATACATGAAACCATACCGTGTGCGCCTCTTGGACCACATGCAGAATGACATTAACGTCGAGGCTGTAGACACATCTGTAGCTATGTATCCATGCTATGGTTGCTATGGTAGCGCTGTCAAACAAACTCTGATCATGTGACCATTACAAACTCTACCTCATACAAACTTTACAGCACGTTACATATTTAACAAACCCATATTTTTTAATCACATATTTTAGACATGTTTTTAAATCAATGTTACACTTTTATCATCTTATCTAGTAATTAAATGAACCAAATTAAGCATCTCTCTATCACAGAAACATTTGAAATAAACAACTTTATTTTAACTGTCTCAGGGACAGTTACACTCCCACCAAATTACTAAGATTTATGAACTGTTAATAATATGAATAAATCTAGAAATTTTCAGAACCAAACAGTACTTAATCTTGCAAGTCAAGTCTAATACTTTAACCATCCCATATACATTTACAGAAGTTCCAATGGAACATTCTAATTACTCTCTATTAGGACCACTAATTTATGTATAGGGCGTTCAAGAGTGGATGGTTTATTGAGCCTTTCACCCTCTTTCGATAGTTTCCTGTTTCCTAGTTGTATTCTGGCTTTCCGAACCAGACCCTCTTCATCTTTGCAAACATCCAGTACTCTCCCGAGCTTCCATTCACTGCGAGGGATTCCTTCTTCTTTCACAATGACAATGTCGTCTATTCTAACATTTCGTCTTGGGGAGTGCCAGCGTTGTCTTAATGTGATATTTGAGAGGTACTCATTCCTCCATCTACTCCAGAATTGCTCTGCCAAATATTGAACTCTGCGCCACCTTTTTCTGGCATACAGATCTTCTGGCACAAATTTTCCAGGTGGAGGCAGTGGTACAGAGGTTTTCATGGTGAGTAAGTGGTTTGGGGTGAGTGGCTCTAAGCCTTTGGGATCACTGATGCTGTCTGTGGTAAGAGGACGGCTATTAACAATCGACATGGCTTCATAGAAAAATGTTCTCAAAGAAGCATCATCTAATCTTCCAGCACTCTGTGAAAGGACCTTGGTTAAGACGCCCCTGACTGTCCTTATCTGCCGTTCCCAAACACCTCCCATATGACTGGCGTCAGGCACATTCATGACAAAGTCGCACTGTTTCCTGGCCAGGTAAGCAGACAGTCTGTCCTTATCTACTTCCCTTAAGGCCTCTGTCAGTTCATTTTTTGCCCCAACAAAGTTTGTTCCTTGATCAGATCTGATTTGTCTGATGGCTCCACGAATAGCTATAAAACACCGTAAAGCATTTATGAAGGCATCTGTCGTGAGATCTTCCAACATTTCTATGTGGATTGATCTAGAGGACAAACAAGAGAATAGAAGACCGTATCTCTTAAAGTCCTTGCGGTTTTGCTTAGTATGGAAAGGTCCAAAACAATCCATCCCGCAATAGGAAAATGGTGGTGAGGGTTCAACACGAGCTGCCGGTAAATCAGCCATCCTTTGTGTTTCTGTTGGCCTGCGAACTCTCCTGCATGTAACACATTGCTTAATGTGATTAGCTACAACTTTGCTCCCACCAATAACCCAGAAACCATTTGCTCTTAGTTCATTAAGTGTCTGTCCTCTGCCTTGATGCTGGGTTTTCTCATGGCACTGATCTAAAATCAGGTGAGTAATTATGCCATGTTTGGGTAGGATTATTGGATGCCTCAAGTCAAGCGGTAAGGAAGCCTTCCTTAACCGCCCTCCTACCCTGAGAACGCCATCTTGCAATATTGGATCAAGTTGGTACAAAGGATGGCTCTGTGGTAATTTACCATGGCTCAGTGTTTGTATTTCCTCCTTGAAAGCATCTTCTTGTGCTAATTTTATAAGCACATGACTTGCTTTTCTCCTATCTTCCACATTTATACCCTTTGTTGCATTGGCTCTTTTGGCTAGTTGCTGAATCCTAGCAACTACATTTACTGCTGTATGCCATTTTGAGAACCTTTTGAGTCTCTCCAAGAAGTTCCTGTCCTCTACTACCTTTGTACGTAGTATTTGTGTCGTTTTGACCTCTGGATCACCTACCAGAAGGTCTGGAGTTGAGTCTGGTGTGACAAACCCTCTTTCCCACAGGAAATGAGGTCCAGTGAACCAATTTGAACTGATCAGTTCTGCCACTGTGAGGCCTCTGGAAGCGTGATCTGCTGGATTTTGATTGGTGTCAACATAGTGCCACTGTGCTGGATCAGTTGCTTCTCTGATTCTTTGCACTCTATTAGCAACAAAAACATGAAATCTGCGGGCTTCGTTGTTAATGTAGCCCAAAACCACCCGTGAATCAGACCAGAAATACTCTTGATCAATTTTGAGCTCCAGTTCCTCTTTTAGCATTCTGCTGACTGCTGCAGACACCACTGCTGCTGTTAATTCCAGCCTTGGTATGGTTACAACTCTCGTGGGTGCAACTCTTGCTTTGCCTATGACTAAGGAGCAATGCACTTTGTCTTCACTCATCACCCGGACATATGAGCACTGACCATACCCGCGATTGCTCGCATCTGAAAAGTGGTGGAGTTCTATTCTTTGGACTTTTCCAAGGTTTTCAGGTATAAAGCATCTTGGGATTTGGAGTTGCTGCAGGTTCTTCAGATCAGTGACCCAACTCTCCCATTGTGGCTTCAATTCACTAGGCAGTGGCTCATCCCATCCAATGTTCTTTAGACACATTTCCTGTAGAATTTTCTTTCCTATTAGAAGGAAAGGAGCCAAGAAGCCTAATGGGTCAAACACAGAGGCGATAATGGAAAGAATTCCCCGTCGTGATACTGGTTTCTCCTCCAGGGCAACTTTAAAGGAGAAGGTGTCACAGCTTACACTCCACCTTACTCCCAACACAGTCTGAACTGGGAGTTCATGATGACTGATGTCCACATCCTGGGCTCCACTAGCTCGT